TTGCTCTTCTATGGTTACTACATATCCCAAACCCGGGTAAAGGAGGAAGGTTGGACATGGGGTCAGTAACATGATCCCGTAGAAAACAACCTTGCTAAAATATGCTAACCAGAGATAATATAGATATTGAGAGCGTGCTACATCTAGGTACAACATGTAAAAAATGGTTGAATGTGCTTTGTTAAAATGAATTATTCACATCAGTCCATAGAAATCGTTATTAACACGAAACTGGAGAATTTAGGGTAAAATCTTTTCGGTAGATTGTTCTGATCATGGCAGAACATTGCGATAGATTAGTTCAGATCACCCAACCACTTAGTTGTAGTTTTATGTTGATTAGAAACGTTGGTAAATAGTTGTGTTTAGTAAATATTAGTTTTCAGGAGTTACAGGTTAGAATCTGTCAGTGAGACTTTAATCCATAAAGATGCCATATTTCGCATATTTAACTTCGTATATGATAAATTGACTAACTACATTTACGTAATGTAAGCGTTTAAAATCCAAACACGAAAGGCAGCCTAAAGATTATATTTTATGAATTTGCATGAACAGATGAACTGTGATGGTGTAGTGAACAGAACACCGGTGGGGACAATCGAATGTATTTGACAACAAATTACAGTACTTGTTAATAAAACCTAACAACCATATATTAAATGCTCAATTTGCAAAATGTCCATCAATTGTCTCAAAATGACTCCCACTTCATTGTTCTTGTATTCTTATACAAATCGCATTCTGTTTCCATTCTTTACTGTTCGATTCTCTTGTCTCTCTGCTACCAGACATTCTGTTCACGAATAACATCATATACTACTTATGTCTAAATAAGTAACACACACCACAATCGGAGTGATTAGATAATGTTTGAAGATCGACTTTACACCAACTCCCAGTGCTAGTCTTGAAATGAACTAGGATATAATTCAAAAACGTATACGATTCGAAAATGGATAAATATATATTCATACTTAGAAGAGCATTTATGTATTGAATGTACATGAATGATATGTCAAGGTTAATTTTTTATCAATATATACAATATAATTAATATGGTGTAAACAAGTTACATGTAAGTGTTTCACTTAATATCAGTTCACAGAAGGATTTGTATCAATCTGTCATATCATTTCATTAACTTCGATTAATTGCTTATTATGTCACAAGTAAATTAAGATGTATCAAAAGTTGTTTAGTGCAATTTGTCATATTTAGTATACCACTATCCTTAATTATGTTAAAATTGTATTCAAATAACTTACACAAAAGATTGACCTAAAAAGAAGGTTTTGACTATTGCAAACTTATTGTTGCTTGACAAAGATTGCGGTATATTTTCTCTTTCCTTTTATTAGATTTATTTCGTGAAGTATTAATGTATGGTGGTCAGAATCATGAAATAAGTAAACGATACCGGAATTTTTTCTCTATTTTATGGTCCCACTTGGTAAAAATCTAGCTAAAGAGGTTTCATTCGATTTCAGTATGTTGCAATATTAGCAAATTTTAATTGACCTTTGGAAGGTAAATCTGAGAAGAGTTTAACATTTATTGCTTGACATGAACATTATATATAATTAGACATGGATTCTAAGAGTTATCTTAAACTTGTACCTTATGCATTTCATACTGACTTATGACATTAGCCTTAAAATCTCATATACTATGAGTTTCTTTAAGAGTACAAATATAACTGATAAATGTTAGAAAACAAAAAAAACTAGTTTACAGCTTCAGTAGTCCTCACTGAAAATAATGTGATATGAAGAATCAATTTTTAAAATTAAACTTTCTACAGCTTAACCTTGACAATAACCCACTCACCAAATACAGATTTAAGTATATATGGGCGAGTATCATAACCGCAAGGCTTGCCTAACCAAAAGAGTGAACTTGAACCCATTATCTATTAATGCATAACTAACTAGATAATCTAAATTATGGTCCTGTTGTGATATGTGCTACTTATATCAACATAAGTAGTATATGACACTAGTCGTGAACAGAATGTCTGGTAGCAGAGAGACAAGAGAATCGAACAGTAAAGAATGGAAACAGAATGCGATTTGTATGAGAATACAAGAACAATGAAGTGGGAGTCATTTTGAGACAATTGATGGACATTTTGTAAATTAAGCCTTTGCTAAATGATTGTTAGATTTTATTAACAAGTCCTGTAATTTTGTGTCCATTACATCCAACTGTCCCCATCGGTTTCTGTTCACTACACTATTGAAAACACTGACTATCACAATGTTAACTTATTCACGTGAACCTATACGATTCCTAAAATGTAATACACAATAAAATAGTGTTAGAAAAAATAAAAAAACATGTAAAATGAATCCATTGTACCTGCACCAATATGCTATAGGTAAAATAATCAATTTAATGGCTAAATTTAAATTCAACATTGCTTATTCTCTTTCTTTTACTAATGAATATATCCTAGAAAATGTTAAAAAGATTTGTAGTCCTAATATTATAGATCAGATGAAAATTTATAGAATTATTTATTTATTTTTGATCAGAAACTATCGATAAAGTAGTACATTACTTGATGGTAAACGGAAGTAAAATAAAATATTTTATCTTGTATGATGTCAATATATTAGTACATTATAGCAAAAATATCATATTCCAATCTCTGAACCCCGAAGCACTTATCGAATTTTTTGCATAAAAAGTAAACGATCAATAAATATATTTACACAACTACAAACTGTTTGAGGTTTTTATAAGTACTTCTTCTCAGACTTCAAAAAAAAACTTTAAATCATCATCCTGGAACGAAACCTTAATGACAATATTTAACTTTACATGTTCAAATTATGTGGTCAGTAGAGAAATACAAGTAAATTGAAGGTCGATATGATTATTAAATTAAATATTTATACCCTTTTATACAGACATTTTGAGTCATTCACAAGTTATATATTTCATGTTTTGTTCTGAATAATTTTCTTTATAATTAAGTATATAGTATTAAACAAACTGATTATTATAAATAAATAATATATTTGTAATATCCCAATAAGTAGAAAAAATTAGATTTTCTGACGTTTCGTGACGTCGAGTAAGCCACTTCTTTAGAGTATAAATAAATAACCAAATCAAAATTAATCCAAGTTTAAATAGTATAAACGGAACAACAAGAAAAAAACTAATGATTATTTTTAAAACTTATAGTTCTGAATAACGATGACATAACACGTTGAAGTTGAATTGTGAAGTATCAGTATGTTATTTAATAGATACTACAACTTAATTACTAAGACAAATTTTATACATTACCAAACAAAACTTAATTAAAAGTAAATAAGTGGCATATAATAATAATCAATAACTTACACCTTGACAAAATAAATTACGTAAAATATCCCGGTCATAATGTTTTATCAAATAATATCTCGTAAAAAAATCATTTAAATAAATAGGCAGTTATTAATTAGAAAACATAGAACAGAGTAAACCTTGAAGTTTACACACTGTACTAATAATAATCTTTAATCATTTGAAAATAAGTAAGGGTTTTATAATCCCACTTTGTTAACCTGCAGGACTGCAAATGATCAATCTCATACTAATACTTTCATACCTACTGAATAAGTTTGTGGCTACATGAATTCAGTAGCTCAGTAAATAATATACTTTTATTAGAAGTGAAAAATACTGGGTTTGAGTGAACATCAACATTGGAATTCAGGTATATCAAGCAAACAAATAGGATGAGACTCTTGTCCTACACCCGAAACTGTTCACATACTATACATACTTTAACAATTTGAATAGTTTTGATAATTGTGTAGAATTTACAAAACAAATATTTACAGTTAGTTACTGAAAAATTCATTCACCTTTGCTTTTATACACATATCCAATAACGTAAACCTACTATCGAAAAGTGAGAGTCACTGATTTTTACACGACGAATGAGATCAAATTATTTTGAAACTTAAGATGACATCATCAACAGTTCTGTGTATAAATATTTTTCTCTGTATCAATGACGATAAATTAAACCTTGCGGTTCTAAACAACCTGTACTGTAATTAATAAAGTGACTCTAAGTGATCAGTATGAAAGAGGTAATCTTATTCTAGAAAAACACGTGTTGACAGGACTTAAATATGAGTTATCCAAGTAAATGAGATTACCCTGCGAAACTAAAGCCTTAACCTTAAGACTCTTATTTATTTTTAATTTAAACCATATGATGTGATTTTCATGCATCAGCCACAATACAAGTTTTTTAAAGCTAGTTGAAGTTTGTTTTAAAAAAATTAATTAACCTGTTATACGTAATTTATACAGAAAAAAGTAACTCAAAATCTTAAATTAATGTTACTGCTAAATTAGAAAAATTATTTTAACTTTAAGGAAGTTTTCAGCCCTTACCTGTTAACCATTATAAATGCGTCCTATCTGGTAGATATTAAAGTACTGAAGTACCAACCAGATGATTCACGTATATCATTGATACAAACCTATTAATCCTGACCAATCATATACAGTGTTGTTGGTTTATTTACATGCTAAAGCCCAATTTAATGTTATGTTTGTACAAATTATGCAAACCAGTATAATATTTGGGATCTAGTTGAAGAAAACGTCTTACACCCAAACTTTCGATTGCTTTACATTTTCGAAGCACAGAAAATTAGAACATTTTATGGGTGTATACCATAACGTAATAATAATAATTTCCTATGTACATTACTCTGTTGTGTTAACCAAAGCCAAATATACATAACAGACATATATAGGTTTAAACACCGCTTAAATGTGCTTAGTGAAAAATGCACTAGTTGAGTCAGGAATTTTTTTAGCCTAACAACTAATCAGTATTTTGTATACTCATCTCACCCCCACTATAGTGATTCGATTGGCTGTTCTTACCAAGAGTTTTATTTACGATTTATTTCATGAGGTGATAGTATGAAAGACACAACACTGAACACAGGCAAATAGGTTCCCATACTCTAGAATTAGTTATGTAAATTTACGTATAGATAATTTTCTATTGTGAGTGTATGAGAGAAATAGGCATATTGATCGACCAGTTTACAAACTTGAGTAGTTTTTAATCAAACAATCGGTTGATATTTTGTGACCGGTTTTATATTTTGACTAATTTGTATGGGAATGGATAGTGGTGCATCGGAATTCGTCAAGATGGAAACACCAATGTCAAATGATAGTGAAAAACTGTTCTCAGTGAGTTGACGTTTTGTTTATTTTATGGTTCTGATCTAAAAATTCTTTGTTATAATGAAATAAAAGTATTTTTCTTAACAGAAAAAAATTTATTTATTTCATGAAAAGCGACTTATTTTGTTATTTTATATAATAAGAAATTTTCCATTTCCATAGGTTTCTACAACTAGCTGAAGTTACTGATTTACTGTAAGGTTTTTTAATTACCAAGCATACTATCGGTTAAAAAGGATTGCACTCATTTTCGGAGATATAACTTTAAACATACATTAACTTATGAAATCAAACACAGAACTCTAAATCTTTACAGACAGTACATCCCATTTTCAGCCACTGGACTTGCTTCAAGTGGTCCGGAATTTAAACTCTAACCAATTCATTAATAAGTTCTGTAGCACTTTCAATCGTTATAACCTCTGATTTCATTAGAGAGGTTTTAAAAGTTATAAATGTTATCAAAACACTTGGAAATATTTGGTAAATGTCAATTTTTAAACAAAATTTATTATATTTATACTACGTGATTTTATAGATGTTCTACTGATGTAATAAGGTTCAAGAAATATGCTTTCCAAGTTATAGTCAATTGCAGAATCAATGAAGTAACCAGTAGAATAATGGCAACACGTTAGGAAATTTAATACTTGTATAATCGATAGATGTTTTTGATATTTGTTTTTAAATACTTATCTAGATTATTGCGAATTCAGCTTACTGTCGAACTCTACAACTGTAATAACCTCCAGATACTACTTAACCTCAAACCCTATATAATGTTCACACAGCGCTAATGTGAATAATTTAGTGCATCGAAAATAAATTTCAGATTATATAAAGTACAAAAATGGTAGCAAGTCAATGTATTTCAGAAGTTTTTTATACTTAAGATTATAATACAGTTGAGTGTAATCAAGCAAAAAAAGCACTTTTGTTTGAACTACTCAAGATTTTCAGTAACTTTTATTGATTAACCTAATTGCAGCGTTAAATTCATCTTATCTTATTAATATGGTATGATTGTCTTCTCCAATAAAACATTAATTACCTACGGTTACATCATTAGGTTGATAGATAGCCTAAAATTATATTATTTAAAACAACTTACTGATGTTTTTAGCTGTTCGATTATTTCGCATAAATATTTTTTTCCTGAAGATTGAACATATTTCATACTCAGTTTATCATTGTCATGGTTCTAACTAAATAAACTGGGAATAATAATCATACCATGCTATACTTTCATTTGCTTTATGTCCACGTTTTGTCTGTTGTATTAGTTTTTTAAATGAAAATTAAACATTCACCCTATTTCTATAGTACGATTTCAGCAAAACAATTTATTCCATTTTACGTAACATAACCTAGAAAAACTATACACTTTTAGAAGTTTTCCAAGGTAATTTCTTATATTACCCGTTATAGAGTTAAGAAAATCGTACTTAGGATCTTTATGAAGTTAAATAAATGAATCACTATTATTCTTTATGTATGAGAACTAGATAAGCAATGCTAAAAACACGATGACAAATTTATTATTATTTGAGTACTTTAAACGAAAAAAATTAAAGTGATTTTAAATTTACGAATGCTTAAACCAAACACTTCCAATTATAATCAGAAAGAGGTTTTGTGGATTGGTTAGAGTAAGACAATAACACCGTTGAATGCGGCTTAGTGATCTAAAGGTTAAGCGCCCACGTGCGAGTCCGATAGGTCCTGGGCTCGAATCTCACGGAGGGCGGGATCGTGGATGCGCAATGCTGAGGAGTCCCATACTAGGGGGAAACGGCCGTTCAGTACTTCCAGGTTTTCCATGATGGTCTATCTTCAATTGACTCATGAATTCATCTATTAAAAAATTACTTCCAATCATATCTGATCTTTTCATTCAATCTTACCAGCAAAAATAATTTACTGAGTTAAATAAAATATTATAAGGAGATTCGATAATACATCCATACTCTCAAATTGTCATCGGTTACTTTATTACCAAAACTATACTAAATTTTTTTTAACAATAATCTGTCTTCCATCGATCTTGGTAAAATCCTACTAAAATCAATATTTTCTCTCATAGTTTAGAGCAAAATTAAAGCATTTAATAAGAAAGTCTTGTGATCCATATTTAGTTACGTTGATAATAAACTTTAGGTTACTGTTTGCTGAATTACACTATAAACTTTTCAAATTCAATATTCTCATCAATTGTTTCTCATGGAAACTTATGGAAAAAAACAAATCGTCTATCAATATAAAATATAAATAGATCATCTTATTGTGTAAGTTACAAGTCGAATTATTATTTTTTTAAAAAAATCACATTTTATATTCCCTAATGAATTATTAAGATTAAATATATTACTTTATATATTTTATTAGTTTGCTTGTTATTTACTTTTTGCATCAGTCATATCCAATCTACTACCGTATCATACATACATTGTGCATGAGTTCTATTATAAACTAGTTAATCGATTGTCCGATGATTTTCCTTTTGTTTATTATTTAAAGTATTAAACGAATTATTTCGTATTTTACTTATTTGTATAAAATCAGCTGTTTTCTATAAGCTGTAAAGTTTAAATAATATGTATCAAACATTTTATGTTGATAAGTTTAATAATAAGCTTAATGTAAGTGTTTGTTTATGTGAAAGGATAAGCTCTATGTAAATTTAATTCCATAGAAAAAAATGAAATAAATTCTCTATAATTTAAAGTATGTAATATGTATCAAAATTGCTTCTGTGGAGATTGTAGTAATTTCAATAAATGAGAGCATGAGTCAATCGAAGCTAGACCACCATGAAAAACCTGGAGGCACTGGATGGCTGTTTCGTCCCAGCATGGGACTTCTCAGCATTTCGCATCCACGATTCTACCTCAAGGGATTCGAACCCCGAACCTATCAACCTCGCGCGCGATTGCTTAACCACTAGATCACTGAGACGGCCAGCATTCAACGGTATTAATGTCTAACTTCAACTAATCTACGAAACTGAGCGACACATCTATCATTGTCATCAGTGAGTTACTGTCTCACAAGTGACTTGGTTGAACTCCCTTGGTCACTGCTTCTCACTAGAACTCCAGGATATATATCTTGAAGCCAATCACTAGTAAGCATATGTTGATTAGTGCCAGAAGGGGTTTGGTGGAGATTGTAGTAATTTCAATAGTTGATATGTAATATGTGTCATTTCTTAAATATAGCCCATTTTTTAATGTAAACGACCACTAATTGTATACTTAGAATGTTACATATAGTGTGCAATACATATGTTAAGGAGTTCTATATAAAATATAAACTACAGTGTAAACAGTTAATAAACTGTTGCTTCATTTTAGTCTGACTGATTGAGTAACTCTTGTCCAGATAAGAACATTCAAGTTTTATAGCAAACACAACACGGTTAATCTATTGAGACTTTACTAAGATTCTAGGTTTAGACGATAATCATCTGTCGTTATTGATAATAATAGATTGATTATACAAGTTATAAATTTGTATATGAAATCGTTTGTATGAGTTAAAAAGAGTGTTCAATGAAGATAAATTAGTTATTTAATTCTTTATAATATTTAGTACTTCTACAGTTGATGATGGTTTAATGTAATATTATGTTCAATAAATCAAGTATTCATAAACACCCATTTACATAATAATACAATAAATCTTTATTAAACCGTATATATATATATATATATATATATATCCACAGATTAAAATGTATAAGTACAAATATTGGCTATGGAATTTTATCTTGAATCGATTAAAACTAATTGTTAAACCTTTATTACAGACACGCGTACTTGGCAGTGCATTAAACTATACGAAAACTAAACAGTAGCTATTTTTCAATAAAGTTTGTTTTATTTAACAAAAAAGATTTATCATATAAATGGAAACTATTTTTTGGCTCGATAATTTACTTGCAAAAAGTGATTTCATTTTTGTCGAAACGTGCATGGTTTGATATATTACAAATTTAATGTATCAAACATTTTGTTTTATGATTTAATAAATGACATTCTTCAGCCAAACTGTATTTATAATTATAATAAATATTTTCCTGTTTTGAATTATATCTTTAATAATAAACAGGTTAATTTGATTAATGTGTACATCACCTATGAGCTATATATCACAAATAACTTGAGTAAGAAATGTAATTAAGTGTGCAAAATTTTCCATAGAGTATTCCAAATTGTGCAAGATATCATTGAAAGTTGTTTTGATTCGTCTGTAGCTTTTAATGAATATATAATCAGGAATTTAGAAAACAGTTTATCCTTCATTGTTTTTCCTTATAGGAACAATCTGAAAAAAGTCATTCAATTATAGTTCACCTTGACAGAAATTTCTTTAGTAAAAAAGTATGTGGAAATGTTTATTATAGTTAAGCAATAAAGGTTATGGCTAGAAATTTCTTTTTTTAACAAAATGAAGAAAACCCTGACTTAGGACAGGTACAAAAATTTAGAAGCTGCTTTTATTCACTAGTGATTGACTCATTAACATAATACTATTTTAGTGAGGATGTCTTTCATTATTTTTTTCACATTACTTTCAAGCACATATTACAGATTTATAAGTGACTAGAGTATTGTTCATTTTTATTGAATACCAAATCAACATTTACGGAAATGTGGAAGCGTATTCTAATTGTTTAAATCATCTAACAGATCTGACTGACAGGATATGGTCTATTGGTTATGTTATTTAAAAGAGTGCCACTAATTATACGATTGGTACTTGTTGTTATATCATAACATTTCTAACCAAATTTTTATTGATAAAGTCTTGTCAAAAACATTAATGAAGAATGTTAAAATATGTTCAGTATACAGTTATACATAAAGACTATGGAAGAACTAAGTTTTAGTTAAAACAATAAAGTAGTTATTATAACAATATCATGCATTTATGGATCCATTTTGAATTCTGTGCCGGTATAAAGAAATATATCAATTGTCGTATTATTCTACTTCAGTTGATAT